AGTTATTGGTTCGTGTCGGTTGCGTTTTTTTTTCTATTCTTTCTCCTTCTTTTTTTTCTTTTTAGTTTTTTTCGAATCGAGTGATCCGCAAAGAAGTCTCCTGGGTTAAGGGCGTAGCTAAGATTTTTCAGAGGGGAATTGCAAACTGACTTCAGCCTTGCTAATGGTTAGGCACAGTTCAGTTGATGCAGCATGTCTCTCTCACAGTTCATTACTATTTCCTAACTCCCTCTTGATTTTAATGTTGTTAACTAAATATTCTGAATCCTGTAGTGTTTTCTGTACTTCGGAGGTCACCGGCTAAAACTCTTTTTCCTCCAGTTGGAAATTGTTTTGTTTCTGCAACTGTATTAACTATTTTCCCCTATTTATTTTCTTCTCGCTGGTTCAAATCATGCTATAGGAGTTATTCTCAATCTGGCTTGGGGGCCGAATAACTTCTCCCCGAGTATGATTTGGAGCTGACGGACAAGGAGTAACTCTCAAACTGGCTTAGGGGCCGAGTTACTCCTCCCTGCGAAATTTGCATTTTGCTCCTACCAGCATTTCCATTTTGGAGAGGAAAAGTGAAAATTGACTTCCTCCTTCCTAATCGATATAAACTTTTTTTTTTTTCATTCAATAGATACATCGTGTCTCTCCCAGTTCTTACTAATTCCTAACTCCTTAATAGATCCATTATTTTAAACCATGTATTCTAAATCTTATAGTGTTTTCTATAGCTCAGAAGTCGCCGGCAAAGACTCTTTTTCTTCAAATTAAAGATCATTTCATTTCCTGTGGCTGTTTTATATACTTTTCCCCCTATTCTTTTTTTTCGATACTTATACTTTATCCTTTTTGGTTTGGAAATCATGGGCCTTTTACTATCGACATCCTTTGATGGACAATGCGAGTGAAAAGTTAGACTTTTCCATAATACCTTCACTCAACGTAACTGAGGCTACGCTCGATGTCCGTTCGTAAACTGCCGTGAAGTTACCGATATCGAGAAAAATGGAGACCGTAATTCTCTGAGGTGCTGGTAATTTTTGTACAATAATAGATTTCTCACTTACTGAGACAGGTGAAAGTGGTTTAATCCACGCATGTGTTGCTTTTACTTCATCATCCACTGCAATGTTTGAACGCTCCTTGCAAATAACTAGTACCTAGTTTCTCTCTTGCAGAGTCGTAATTGGTAAAATGAACCACCCCCAGAGGACAGATTAATGTTCAAAAGTGAATTAATGCTCCTTATTATCGCCTACCCTTCCCTGGGACTCAAGGGGTAGGGATTTCAATTGACTAGTGCATTAACTTTGTACATCAAAGTGGCTATCTCTTGCAATCTTCTTTGGTGGAGGGTAGGGAGGCTGGCTTTTTGTCAGAGAGCCTTAAAGCACTCGGTCCTTGATTTAAAAACTGCTCTAAAATGCACGTTCTTGAATTCGTTCAAGTTTCAGAAGTGCCATACAATGTCACAGTACGTTAGATAAGGAAGAGTATAGCAAATTTATAAAGCTGCAGTTTAGCAGAACAGGGCATCAGATTATATAACCTCAGTAACACTCCTACTTTTGGACTAGCTCTTCTGCTAATACCTTTCATATGTTCACTAACTGTTAAATTTTCATCAATGGTCACTCCGAGAATTACAAGTTTACACGAGGATTTCACCACTTGATTGTCAATTTGAACCAATAACTGATCGATCTGCTGCTTCCTTTTTAGAGAGCTTTAAATCGATGGCAATAATCTGACATTTGATGGGATTGGTCTTAAACCGTTCACTCCCACGATCTCATTAGTAATTTTCCTTACTGCATGCCCCACAATTCTTATATATTAGTTCGGAGATTTTGACATTGGATCAAGTAATAATCGCCTAATTGATATTTTTGTTTATTCTCATCACTTGTTTGCTCGGTATTGTATTGATATTGTCAGAAGAAGTTCTATCTTGGTCATCCTTGGGAGTTAAAGGATTAAATACAGAGTTACTTTATACCACTGCGTGGCCATTTCTGTTTCACTCATTCGTTCTTGAACATCTTTTTTAATTGAATCTGCGGTCATGTATATTTGATGGTCGTTTCTGTACATAAAAAGACTCTCTGATTCCGCATATAATGGGAGATGGTTTTGGATTAGCTTCCAACTGAGTTTAGAACAAGCTATAGGTCGATAATTGCAGTGCCGGTACAATTACAGTTGTGTAATTGCACCAAACTAAAGGAAAGCCAACTAAAATAAATGCGTCCACAGAGGTGAAAAAGCGTGGTACCCGGCCTGTCACATTATTATCCCGATGCAGATACTTGATGATGTCTGTGCGAATTGTCGTGATTCACGTGCCTCCGGTAAACGAGGCCGCCCGCCATTACAACATATGCTAATATTGATTTCCTTCACATCGCTTTTATCATTTCTTTATGATTCGTTTCCTTTATGCTTGACCGGAAACGCTCGATTGCACTCTTAGTCAGACAAAGTTCCTCACCCTCCCCCCCCAACCCGATATTTCAAAACACTCTACACCGACAGTTTATGCTCATTAAATATGTAGTTTCGTGATGGTCGAGCGGCAATCGTAGGCGCGCGCGAGTGCAAGAGAGGTCATCGAGGTCGCGGGTTCAAATCATGCTATAGGAGTTATTCTTAATCTGGCTTGGGGGCCGAATAACTTCTCCCCGAGTATGATTTGGAGCTGGCGGACAAGGAGTAACTCTCGAACTGGCTTGGGGGCCGAGTTACTCCTCCCTGCGAAATCTGCATTTTGCTTTTGCTGTCTTTTCTATTTTTCTCCTTTAATATCATCATTTTTTTCTTTCTTTTTTCCTTTTTTTTTTGCTGAGAAATTATGTTATTGGTGCACTGTGTTTTTTTTTTTGATACAGTTTTGGTACTTGTCACTTGCTTTTTTTCCCTTTCCTTTTTTTCTTTCTGTTAGTAAGATCTTAGCGAAAGTCATCATGAAGCGCCTATTACCACTTTCTCAATAATATTTTTACGCCGAGAAATATTATTAAACAGAGTACCGCGAATGGAACTCCCTATGTAAACATATTAGATATTGCCAGGCCCTTCGAAAGCGTGCACCGGCGCAGACTCTGGTAGATACTTCGAGCAAATGGAATCCCCAGCCACCTTGTTGAGATCATCAAAAGCTTCTATGACAACCTTACCTGCTCTGTTGGTGATGGTGACTTCTTATTTGAAGTCGACACTGGTGTCAGACATGGGTGAGTCATGTCCCCATGCTTTTCAATCTTGTTGTAAACTGGATCATGCGGCGCACCACTGAGGATCAGTTTAGGGGCATCAGATGGACACCCTTCTCCTACTTGGAAGACCTGGATTACAATGATAGTGTGATGTAGCCTTACTTATCACATATCCACTCGCACATTCAGGAGAAGACTCAACGCCTTAACACCTCTAATAAAATATAACATTACAAGTCTTCGTTGATTAATCTTATGAATGGAATTCTATAAATGCCATGTCAAATGAAAAGTAAACATAAGGTAAAACGGAAATGTGTATATAAGAAATGTATCCACAGATTTAGGTAAAAATCGTTATAACTGGCGGGTGAGTTTAGGCCACTGTGGTAATTTTTATGATACAGGTGTTGGTTTGTGTTGGTTGCTTGTTTTTTTATTCTTTCTTCTTCTTTTTTTTCCTTTTAGCTTTTTGAGCTTTTCGTGATAATGGAAATTTTATGAAGAAAGGACTGTTATCTTCTTTATTGAGGGATTCATAGGAGCCAAAAAGGCCAAATAAGATTGCTCACTCTAAAAGGGAATAATTTGTACACCAAAATTATGCAATAGAAAATGTAAAATTGAAAACGTTTCCCTTCCGAACTGAGAATGCTATGAAGCGACGATTTCGGTCAAATTTTGCGGGGAGATCTGCGCGCAGTAACGTAGTTTATATCCAATTATTGAACAAAAAAAGAAAAAAAAAAAGAAAAAGAAAGAAAGACTAAGACTAGAAAAAAAGCAAGGCAAAATCAATTTCCTGTTTCAATTCTTGGTAAAACCTTTAGTTTGACAGTGTTATAATGTATATCTATGTGTCTTGGTAAAGGATCTCAGTTTGAACCAAAATGAATGTATTTTGGATGGTATGTTTATAGACGGAAAGAGAACTGTTCGTTTCGTATGTCAGCACAGCCGCGAACATTACAAGTCTTTGCTGTTCTGTTAGGTAGAATTTTTTTTAAATGTCATGTTCTCTTGCCATGTTTGTACTCATCTATTAAAACTGTTAAGTCTTTCAGTTTTTAATGCTTTGTTTAAGACTGTTTAAGCTGGATCTCTCTTACAGTGGGAAGAACTTAAATTTACCATAGAAGTAGTTCGAAAAACCAGTGTTTCTGTTATGCGAGGAATGTTAAAGTCAACATTTCTCAGCAAGATAGTATCCTTTATAGAAATTTTCTGAAATAACTCTGAAATGTAGTGCGGTTGACTAGGCCGTCCTAAACTTTGTACATCAAAGTGGCTATCTTTTGTAGTCATCTTTGGTGCAAAGAAGGGAGGCCGGCTTTTTGTGACAGAACACTATAGGACTTAGTACTTGATTTAAAAGCTGCTCTCAATGTGAATTTAATTTTTTCGAATTTTTTCAAGTTTGAAACTTGTCGGAGGATTTACAGAAGTGCCAAACAATGTCACAATACGTTAGATGAGGGAGAATAGCAAATTTATAAAGTTGCACTTTAGCAGAACAGGGTATAAGATTATGTAACCTCAGTAACACTCCTTCTTTCTGACTAGCTTTTCTGTTAATGTCTTTTATATGTTCAATGAATGTTAACTTTTCGTCAATGTTCACTACGAGAATTGTTAGTTTATCCAAGGATTTCACCTCTTGATTGTCAATTTGAAGCAATAACTAGTCTTCAAGCTCCTTTATAAAGAGCTTTGGATTGACAGCAATAATCTGATATTTGCTGGGATTGGCTTGTAACAGGTTCACTTTTATACTACTGCGTGACCTTTTCCATT